ACAATTGTATCAGATTTTAGTTCTTAAAAAAATTGTCACATCCTCTCCTACCAACACACCCTGCCTAATATATACAATTATCTATGTCTTAAAACTGTCAACATGACCTACCTTTTTGTTTACTACATGTAGATTAACCTAAATAAAGATATTTATCAATGTTTTTATAATTCTTATCAAAATATTATCATACTGTCAAAATAAACTGAAGTTGTCCCCCTTCTTATTTATCACTTTCTTTATAATACCAGTAAGTTTTACAGGGAAAATGTTATAAGGAGGAAACATCATGAAAACCTAAGTTAACTAAATATAACTTAAATGGAGAAAGCATATGACCTGAACAGTATTTTAGTCATTAGATAAGAATTAAATGCTACTTTTGGTAATTTCATTGGGATGTAAAAGCGTTGACTGAAGAAAATTTTGTATTGGCCATGGAAGTTATTTAAGAAAGGCTAATGAATTGTATAATGTGACTGGGTAATTTAAAGAAAGACCCAATTCAATATTATATATTTTCTAAACTATAATCTTTCCAAAATATGCCCAAGACTGGTTTACTCAATCTTTTATAACTTTTATTAAGTTTCAGAATTCAATAAGCAAATAAATAATTCTATAATTCTTGGAGTATTGTTTCAGTAAATCTATTTCTGTTCTATAGTAGTAGATAAAACTTCTCTGTGATTTCAATCAAAATAAGAAATAGAATATATATAATAAGATAAGTAAGAAATGGATTTCTCATTATATATGTCTAGACAGGTATATCATTGGTCAAATCTAAATTACCTCTTTTCTATCAATAAAGATCTGACCAAGTCTTAATGTGTCCATATTTATCAGATAATATCTTTGATTTCAGATGTAAACATACAATTTTACTGCTAATTATCAGTGACCTGACCTAAACATAACTTATATATCTGTTTCATTATCTAAGATCTTCTGTACTGAAGACGATTTTATGCTGGATGTCTGTTGGGCATCTTAGGCAGGGGTTCAAATTTAATTGAACGAATGATAGGTCCAGGACTATCAGGACCATTTAAATTTTCGAAAGACCCTCCTTCATAAAGTCAAAGGCCCTGTATAAATCATCAATATTAAGGATGGGAGGTCCTGCGCTTTTGTCATTCATAAATCAAAGGTCCCCTAAAACAAAAAAAAAAAGGTCTTTGACCTTAGACCCATATGCAAAAATTCATTAGCTTTACTGATGTTTGAAATGAAGTCAATTCTATTAATATGTCAATTATTCTTCTTCACATTAACAGAAACCCTTTAAAGTAAGTGAATAAAAAATAGGAATTTGAATATTAAGAGGATACAACTAAAATATTCAGAGTTTATACTATATAAAGTTATGAAATTCCTTCATTTTTTGTCATCAATGAAGAAAACATTTATTCTAATTATTTCTTTTATTTCAAAGTAAGCATTATCTTTTTAAGTTTTTATTTCAATATTGTACCATTTAGTACATGTATGCCTGTTCAACATTTTTTTCTTCTGTCTTTTATAACTTACAGTCCTTTCATGCCCCCACCCCTTTTGAGTTTTCTATCCTTTTTCTAGTACAAACACTTGCTGACAACCTTAAACATCAGTGACATATCAAAATATCTCCTAAATCAATATATAGCTGTTGATAATGCAAACTTACCTTAAAAACACAAAAAAAAAAATTTCATGCTGCTATCTATTAACTCAGTGTTCCAGCTAGCATGAAATGGAGGGGCGCCGCGCCCCGCCCCCGAAATTTTGCGCCCCTCTGCCTTTTTTAAGCGCCCCTGCGCCCCTCTGTGCCCTTTTGAAAAAAGTTTAAAAAAAACGATCTTTTTTCCTCATATCGTCGCCATTTTGTTGAGTTCTTTATACACACACTTCATTAAGACAACAGATCAAAATTGTTGACACTTGTTACCTGTATATAATCACCTATTTGATTAGAGTCAATTACTTAATCAGGTGAAATTTACGACCCTGTCTAATCCCTTTGCCCGGAAGTACCAAACATCCAAGTTAAATGAATTGTTTTTTAACACCTGACGATGCAAAATAGAATTTATAAAATAAATGTGAACGATGTCCATTTCTATTGTATTTGTTATTTATAAAATAACGTTCGTTAAAAAAGAATCATTCCAATAGTATATTGTAAATCGTCAACACGCAAAATGCCGACGAAAAAAAGAAAAATTGACCAACTCGAAAATGACAAGAAGAAAATATCAAAGACTTGCCAGTCTATTACATCTTTTTTCAAGAATAATGACCATCAAAGGTAAAAAAATAATTTAATTCTTTACTTTTATGAAAAATCGAGAAGAAGAAAGGTTTCTATCAGATATCGCAATTGTTCTTCTATTGTAAATTCCGCCGATTACGGAGCACTCGAAAGTCCGATTTTTATATCATTTTTCTTAAATTGAAATCCGTTTTGACTAACTTTAATATTGATATTATTAGATACGCTCAACATGAAATATACGGAGATGCTTGTTGAATTGATAATAAACTTTCAAAGTTGAATTAATTTATTATTGTGCCGATTACGGAGCTCTCGAAAGTCCGATTTTTGTATCAATTTTCTTATTGAAATCCGTTTTGACAAACTTATTGATATTATTAGATACGCTCAACATGAAATATACGGAGATGCTTGTTAAATTGATAATAAACTTTCAAAGTTGAATTAACAAACTTATTTGTTGAATTAATCTATTTCTCAAGATCGAAATAAAGACAATTGTCTCATTGGCACTCTTATTTAAATTCACAACCAAACCTACATAATTTTCAATGTATGTAATAGTATAGAGTATTTAACTTACATGCTTGCTAAAAATATGTCATTATGTGGTAATATTAAGTATTTGATTTTTTTCAGTGAGAACACGCTAAAGTGCCCTTTTTTAAAAACGCGCCCCTCTATTTTCAAATCCTAGCTGGAACACTGTAACTAATATTCTAAACTACTGTATGAACAAAATCTTTGTCAAAATCTTAGTAACACTTATATCATAAAATATGTATTTTACGAGTCATACTTAGGAGTAAAATACTAGTTTGACACTATTCAGCATTCAGTAAAATCATTGACAATAACAGGTCTTGTCTTACAATGTCTTACAGGGAATAGTTTTATACAGTTCTCCTGTCATAGCAAACCAAACTCACAAAAAGTATTTCCACCCAATCCAAGTCTGTATACTTTTTTTACATAAAAATTCATAATGAAAAACTCGTCTTAAACGAGACCAAAGTTGTGTTCACATTTTAAATAAATGGAGAATATGTCCATGGGACACAGATGATGCCCCCGTTTGCATATATCGTTATAAAGGGACACAACTCAAGAACAGTAAAAGTGACGCTACCCAAACTTGAACTTGATCTGTGCTATGTGGTAATAAGCATTGTGTATAAGTTTCATAAAATTTGGTTGAGGCAAACTTAAGAGAACGAAAACGAAAAATTCAGCATTTTTTTTCATTTGTAAAGGGGCATAACTCTAGAACAGTAAAAGTGACACCACCAAAATTTTAACTTGATCTGAGTTTTGTGGTAATAAGCATTGTGTATAAGTTTCATAATATTTGGTTGAGGCAAACTAAAGTAAGAGAACGGAAACTAAAAATTCAGCAGTTTTTCAATTTGTAAAGGGGCATAACTCTAGAACGGTAAAAGTGTCGCCAACAAAATTCAATCTTGATCTGTGTTATGTGGTTATAAGCATTGTGTATAAGTTTCATAACATTTGGTTGAGGCAAACTAGAGTAAGAAATGGAAACGAAAAATTTTAGCAATTTTTCCATTTGTAAAGGGGCATAACTCTAGAACAGTAAAAGTTACGCCACCATAATTCAAAATTGATCTGAGTCTTTTTTGTAATAAGCATTGTATTTAAGTTTCATATTTGGTTGAGGCAAACTAAAGTTAGAGAACAAAAAATAAAAATTCAGCAATTTTTCCATTTGTAAAGGGGCATAACTCTAAAATGGTAAAAGTAACGCCACCAAAATTCAAACTTGATCTGTGTTTTGTGGTAATAAGCATTGTATATAAGATTCATAACATTTGGTTGAGGCAAACTAAAGTTAGAGAACGGAAACCAATTTTGGGATGTACAGACAGACAAGGGTAAAACTTAATGCCCCCTCCGCTACGGCAGGGGCATAATAAAATTTTAGCAATCTATAATAGCTTCCATATGTATTATTGCAAATTTTCATTGTTTTATCTGTGCTGTATGTGAAAAACTGCTTTTAAATTTCATTATTTTTTCAATATAAACTGTAGAACAATGGACATTTTTTTATTTTTACAGAGTAGCCAGTTCTATTTTTTTCTCACTCTCTTATCTAGTGGTTTTAATAATACACACTGCGTCCCACTTTTCCAAAAAAATAACCAAAAAGTAGGAAAAAAACAAAAATAAGTTACAGATTAATGTTAATCAGATATTAGAAATATGTCAAACCTTGGACCTTTTCAAACATATTAAAAATAAGAAATAAACAGAACAATGTCACGAACTGGGTTGTTATTGTAGAACATTGAAGGGGGAAACCATGCACAATGTTAACAGAAGATAAACAAATACCTGAACCACAATAAAAAAAAATAAATACAACAATACAGTTCTCAACAAACTATTATCACCTTGGGTAGTTTTTTCTTCTGAAAAATTATAATTCTGAAATATTTATTCCAAATATGTGACCTTTCTTTTATAAATCTAAAAGTATAGAAAAAATACATCAACATTTATGCCAACTATCTTTAATTTCATAAGAAAATTTTATAATATGCTAGTGAACAGGTATCAGGAAGGACACAATTTAACGTAATGCCTTTTATCCATTAATTTTGTCTAAATTTTCAACATAAATTCTAACAATATGGTTATATGGCAGGTTTCAATTAAAAATACTTTGTTAATTTTGTTGAGAACTGTTAACATTGAACATACAAAATGATCTTTGACTTACAGCTAGAAGAATCTCCGTTACTCAAAGCAGCTTAAAGCAGGGATAAAACATCTGATTAAAAATAAGTAAAAATAAAGCAGTTATCTCCCTTCATTGGTGATACACAACATAAATCCCTTCAAATTTCTCTACACAATTCCCTCGGAAAAACTTTCTGTTGTAGACCTCTAAAGACTACACAAATCCCATGAAAATTTTTCAGTTGTAGACCTCTAAAGAGTACTACACAAATCCCATGAAAAAACTTTCAGTTGTAGACCTCTAAAGACTACTACACAAATCCCATGAAAAAACTTTCAGTTGTAGACCTCTAAAGACTACTACACAAATCCCATGAAAAAACTTTCAGTTGTAGACCTCTAAAGACTACTACACAAATCCCATGAAAAAGCTTTCAGTTGTAGACCTCTAAAGACTACAACACAAATCCCATGAAAAACTTTCAGTTGTAGACCTCTAAAGACTACTACACAAATCCCATGAAAAAACTTTCTTTTGTGGACCTATAGATTACTACACAAATCCCATGAAAAAACTTTCGTTTGTGGACCTATAGACTACACAAATCCCATGAAAAAACATTCTGTTGTGGACCTATATTTAAACGACTACTGCAGCGTTAAAAATTCCCTAAGAGGTTTATAGCAATAACTACAGTTTGTAATTTAAAAAAAAACAATATGAATGGCAATGTCACTAGTATTTGATATGCTCAATGGAGCACCTATTTGAATTCTAGTAAAGAAATGTGACATCTATCAATTTCTACATTTTCACAAAACTGAAGAAAAAACTACAATCTCCAAAGAAATATTTGCTAAAAAAATTTAAATCATAAAAATATGGGTACCCTCCATTGAGAATGCTGCACCACCTTTCACCATCTAGAAAACCTGCAAAAATTATCCAAATGTGTACAGGGAGTAAGATTCATATTCTTAAAGTAAGAATGCTCTTGAATGGAAAAAACCACCATTAGGAATGTTGCTATGGATGAAAGCATCACTGAAACAACACAAATTATCACAATGTGCATCTGGTGCAGAAAAAAAATAGGTACCAATAAAATGTAATTGCAAAACATGGACTAAGATTCTTACCTGGAAAATCAGCTAAAACAATTTGAATGTGTACACAAAGCTAGCTTCAATATTTAAACAAATATACTTGCAAGGTTGGAAACTGCAAGAGGAGTTGATTGTACAAAACAGGTAAGCTTCATCAAGAATGTCACTTAAAATTTACTAAGTTTCTGCATCTAGAAAACTCAGAACAACCTATTTGAATGTGTACACAAGATGTAATGCACTTCTCTAATGTAAATTAATATATATTCCAGAACAGTTGAAGGTTCTCGGTGAAAAACTGTAAGAGAAGTTATTTACAGTAAACAGGTTTCTGTTTTTTACATACTTTTATGGCAAATATACTTTTATAGTGGGGAAGGTGCAATGATCAGAGTAATTTAATGACCACTTAATAATAGAAGTAAAATTCTTTACCAAAACTTCATTTGGATTGTGTGAATTATTCTTAATCCTCTTAAAGATATTTAGAATTATCATTTGTCAACTTTTTACATCTTTACGTAATTCATAATCTTATATTGTTTGTTTAAACCTCTGCATAATGGTTGCTTCATTTGATAGATTTTGCAAATAAATCAGCAAAAATTCAATATCATGCATCAAACACAAAAACTGTGCTGTGTATTATATTTCAGTGCAGAGAAATAAAATTACGATTTGATAACAAAAATTAAAGTTTTTACTGAAAAAGAGAATTAAAAAAACAAAACTTTTTAGCAGATTGGAGAAAAAGAAAATTTGGATCTTGAAAGAATAAAAAAAATTGTATATACATATATATGTAAAAATTAGATCTGGTAGTTGACCTAAAATATAATATAAAATGATAATAATAACCTTGTACACTTTAAAAAAATTAAATTGCTCAATATTGACTGGCCATAAAAGTTATCTTGGGTAATTCAATCTCCAACATTTGAATATTTAGTTGAACTGTGGTAAAACTATCACCTATAACTATAATGGATACATGTAACTCTACCCTTGCTTTTGGAATATATAACAAGGAAAACAGATTCACATTTTCATCTTGGTATAAATGCAAGTACAAAACAAGTATTATCAATGTAAAGCCAAGTTGACAAAACTCTTTGTGAGAGACATTTTAGAAAAATGATTTTAATGTTTACCTACCAGCAAAAGGTTCTAAGTCATCTCCAATTAACACTTCCTGTCCACTACCATTACTGGACCGAGATGACTTCCTTAAAACAACAACTTCTTCATCTTTCTTGTCATGTGACCTTCTATCACTTTCATTTTCAATTAGTTCTGTACTTTCCTTTTCTTTTATTGGAATATTATCGTCAACTTTTTGTAAATCTGTCTGATCACTTGCTTCTTTGGTATTTGATTTAGATAAATTATCTCCAGAAGTTTTCCCATCCGTTACTAAATCTTCTGTAATAGTCTCTATATCTCTTGATGATCTCTTATTCTGAAAATACACAGAAAATACTCAGTCTGAAGAAGAGTTATTTTCCCTACTATAAAATATGTAATGGTCTTTTTATCTCTTGATGTTCTCATATTCTGAAAATACACCAAAATTCTCTATATCTCTTCTGATAGAGTTATCTCCCCTAATATAAAATGTGCAATAATCTTATTAATATATCTCCATGTTGCATGGGAAATTCACAAACGGATAAAAATACAAACTCAAAACAATTTGTCTTTAAATACCAACCAGTGATAATTCACTTTCTACCCCATACATTAAATCATACAAGATTATTTATCAAAGCATAACTATGTGTCCTAATATCAAAACACACATAAATTTGAACTGTTAACTCCCCTCGAGTCCCTCAATCTCTTCATATGATTCTGAAATTTGTATAGTAAGAGTTAACTCCCCCTTGATAAAATTCCAGTATACCTTGAATGCAAAAAATATTCCCCAATGAACTAAAGGACACAACCAGACCATCTTTATACAAAACATCTTTTATATCACAGGAAGGAAACATTGAAAAATAATGGAATTAATAGAGTAAAAAGTCCAAGTTCAATTTGAACAAAGCCCTTTGTGTTTCAGGTGTGAATGTGTTATGTCCATGGTTTTGTCTTTCTTGTGTGGATGTGTTATTTCAATGGTCCCTGATTTCTGGTATGAATGTGATATGTTAACAATTGTGGGTTTCTGGAGTGAATATGTTTTATCAAAGGTTGCAGGTTTCTAGTGTGAATGGAATCAGTAAATGGTTTTGTGTTTCAGGTGTGACTGTCATGTTAATGGTAGTGGGTTTTTGGTGTGAATGCATTATTTTAGTGGTTTCAAGGTTTCTGGTGTGACTGTGTTATGTTAATGTTTTTTTATTTCTGGTGTGAATGTGTTATCTTAATGGTTTAAGGTTTCTGGTATGACTGTGTTTTGTTAATGGTGGTGGGTTTTTGGTGTGATTGTGTTATTTTAGAGGTTATAGGTTTTTGGTTTAAATGTGTTATGTTAATAGTTTTTGATTTCTAGTATAAATGAGTTATGTCAATGGTTGTGGGTGTCTGGTGTGAATGTGTAATGTCAAAGGTCAGAGTATCTAGTGAGAATTAGTCTGTTGACTTACAGAAGGCACTTCAATGTCTGCTATTTTCTGTTCAATCCCCTTCCGTGCTGTGTGTGGTGACGGAGGTGGGAAGTCAGGTGTAGGTGGTTGTGGGTAGCCTGTTGGAGTAGTAGGAAATCTATGCTCTGACAACCTCTTCTTTGTAAACTCTAATGAATGAGGCTTTGGTGCTGTACATAAAATCAAAATGGTTAAACATATATTATACTGAATCAATTTTTGTCGAGCCTTCGACTTTTGTCGAAAAAGCGAGACATAGCGATCCTACATTCCGTCGGCGTCGTCGTCGTCGGCGGCGTCCACAAATATTCACTCTGTGGTTAAAGTTTTTGAAATTTTAATAACTTTCTTAAACTATCCTGGATTTCTAACAAACTTGGACAGAAGCTTGTTTATGATCATAAGATTATATTCAAAAGTAAATTTTGTAAAAAAAAAATTCCATTTTTTCCGTATTTTACTTATAAATGGACTTAGTTTTTCTGCCAGGAAACATTACATTCACTCTGTGGTTAAAGTTTTTGAAATTTTAATAACTTTCTTAAACTATCCTGGATTTCTACCAAACTTGGAAAGAAGCTTGTTTATGATCATAAGATAGTATCCAGAAGTAAATTTTGTAAAAAAAAATTCCATTTTTTCCGTATTTTACTTATAAATGGACTTAGTTTTTCTGCCAGTTAACATTACATTCACTCTGTGGTTAAAGTTTTTAAAATTTTAACAACTTTCTTAAACTATCCTGGATTTGTACTACACTTGGACAGAAGCTTATTTATGATCATAAGATAGTATCTAGAAGAAAATTTTGATAAAAATATGTTCCATTTTTTCCGTATTTTACTTATAAATGGACTTAGTTTTTCTTCCAGTTAACTTTACATACAGTCTGCAGTTAAAGTTTTAAAAACATTTATTAGATTCAAAAACCATCCTGGATTTTTACCAAACTTGGACAGAAGCTACTTACAATCAAAAGATAGTATAGAGAGGAATATTTTTATTAATTTTTTTCCTCATTTTTGTTGAGCCTGCAATTAACAGCAAAAGTAGGCGAGACACTGGGTTCCGCGGAACCCTTACGAATTTTTTATCTTATTCATTCAAAAGATGTATGCTTAAATCAACAGTTGTGCAATTTATGACTTTTTTCAACAAAATAACCTGAAAGTATCTACAGCATGATAAAATCTTTGAGTCTCATTGATAAATTTTTTATTAATCAAGCTTTGAATCTTTGCAAAGGATGGGTAGTTATTTCGTGTCTGTCATATTAAGTTTTACTTAAATATTTTTGTTATAAATTAGGCCATTAGTTTTCTTGTTTGAATTGTTTCACATTTTTCATGTCGACCCTTTCATAGCTGACTATATAGTATGGGTTTTTCTTATTGCTGAAGGCCTTACGGTGGCCTATAATTGCTTACATCCACTTAATAAGAACTCTGGTGGAAAGTTTTCGCATTAGCAATTATACCACATCTTCTTATTTTTATATATAAAATAGTAGGTGAAGAGGTCATTAATATATACCTTTATAATCATCACAATCCTTTGGTTCCCCTGATCCATTAGAAATCCTTTTCTCATCTACCACCAAATCTTTAGACAGATCACTTAGGCTTGTTTTTGGTGGCAGCTCTGGAGCTGATGAATCAGCCAAGGGTTTGTATGATAGTGGCCTAGGTTTTATTTCAGGCGTAGCACACTCAGCACCAGTCTTTGTAATGTCTCGGCAAGATACAACAGAAACACTATTTTCATTCTCAAAAGAATTTTGTGGAATGTTATTGTCACTTTGTAAAGATTTTTGTGGAATGTTATCGTCAGTTTGTAAACAATTATCTGGAATGTCTCCAATGGAATATCTTTTTTCAGGAATGCTTTTATTTATCGAACATGATTTACGAATATTGCCGTCTGGAATGTCACTATCACAGTTATTTGATTCACATAATTTCTCTGTCCCTGAAATGCTTTCACTACAATCATTAGTATTTTCCTTACTGTCAAACATTTCAGGGATTGTCTTATCACTTTGACTATCAATCACAGACAATGGGTCTTTACTTTTACTTTGTATTTCATCACTTGTATTGGTCTGTCCAAAACCAGTTGAACTTCTGTCTAATTTAGTTGACCCTACACTGTTGGATCTAGACGTACTTTGAATTTCTCCTCGTAATTCTGTACAATGAGACTCAACTCTCTCAGTTCTGATGTCTTTTGAAGGAGATGTAGTTTCACTATATTTAGTAAATGGCACAGTTTTTGCATCTTCATGATCAGCAGTTACCTTTGAGGAACGGTATTCAGCAGCTGTACTTGTGTTTGTGTATTCAGGGTCACAAGAAAGAGATTCGGAAGCAGTGCTTTTATTTGTACATTCTGGGTCACAAGACCTAGATTCAGAAACAGTGCCTATATTTGTATATTCTGGGTCACAAGACAGAGATTCAGACACAGTGCTTATATTTGTATATTCTGCATCACATGACGGAGATTCAGAGGCAGTGCTCATATTTGTATATTCTGGATCACACAATTGAGATTCAGAGTCACTGCTATCTTTAGTATCAGTTTTAAAGCTAGAAAATAAAGCATTATACACGTCTTCAGTAAAACTTGATTCTGTTTTCTGAACGTTTGACATGGTCTCATATTCCTCCTTATCTATTTCTTTAATATTAATTGGACTATGTTCCATCTTCCTGGATGGTGCCGGACTCTTTTTCCTGGGAGGTTTGGCAGGTCTTTTCTATAAATAATAATAATATATTCTATTAGTAGTATAATATTCATTCTGTAAAAAATAATATCTATCATCATTGAATTGTATAAAGGACCATTTTGAATGTATTTAAGAACAAATAAATTATTGTATTCATGACTTCATTGACTATTTCTTGATAACTGCTTTCCTGCAGTCTAGAAGTTCATCATAACAATACACACTGTCCACTATAATCTTGATGTTCAAATAACCAGGATTTTATGTCCATCAATAGATTAAGGAATAACAGTCCTGAAGTTGAAGAGTTGCTGCCATGAATTGGGGATTTGACAGTTGCAATTTCAGTTTTACATATAGTTTCTGAGAACTGGCTGTAGACATGCATGCACATGTAGACACAGATGGTAGGGAAACTCCATGTATCAGAATTGTAAATACTTATTTCAAAGACCTATGGCTATTTTAAGAATGTTGTTGGAAAGCACATTATATAATGATACATAGGTAAAGGGTTAAGGAACTTTATCTTATATAATATACACTTTGGGTTTCCTCTTAAAATAGTGCAGATGGTTAGGCACTGAAAAAAACAATACTCAGCATTTCCCCTGACTTGAGTAGTTCACTTTTTTGAATGAAAAATAGTTGTTTGTAGCAACAATTGATTTTAGCATAGTATTATAACTTTTAAGAATGACCTATGAATGATTTTATCATATATTATCATAACTTTTTTGAATGACCTATGAATGATTTTATCATAGTATTATCATAACTTTTCTGAATGACCTATGAATGATTTTATCATAGTATTATCACAACTTTTCTGAATGACCTATGAATGATTTTATCATAGTATTATCATAACTTTTCTGAATGACCTATGAATGATTTTATCATAGTATTATCATAACTTTTTTGAATGACCTATGAATGATTTTAGCATAGTATTATCATAACTTTTAAGAATGACCTATGAATGATTTTTAACATATCATAACCATACCTTCTTTGAAGCAGGACTTAATGTAGAACCCTCTGTATCTACTGGTTTGGTCATAGCAAAATATCCTGAAACAAAGAGATTTACAGTTAGGAATACTTAATTAAAAAAGTTTAAATAAGTGTAGTTCTACTTTGTACAGATTTACAAGACATTTTCTTCTCATGGTTCAAAGATGAAAATTCCCTTTTGAAGCATTCATTAAAAGTCATTCAACACTGTAATTAGATCATTAAATATTGTTTTTATTGGTACTGATATTGATTTTGTTATCAGTAAATTAAAAGCAAACTAAATATTATTGTTATATACATATAAACATTCATGGATCTACAATCTGTCGATACCTGTATCTTGGCATTGCACAAGGTCATGTTTTTCTCTGACTGTTTATGACGTCTTTACACTAAATCCATTGGATGTTGGATGTGTACGGATTGATAATTTAGTCTTAGATGCATGATTTTTTTATTAGTTGTTAGTGGCTTTGAACTAGCTGTCAGTAACTGTGAGTACCCTCAGATCTGTACTTAAGTGTCTTTTTGTTGTTTGGATGTACAAGTACCTGTCCACGTCCACTTGTAATTGTAGTATTTGTATTTTTATCCATCTGATGAGTTAAGCCTCTTTCAACTGATTTTTATAGTTCGTTCTTATGTTGTACTGTTACACCACTGTCCCAGGTTAGGGGGAGGGTTGGGATCCGCTAACATGTTTAACCCCGCCACATTCTGTATGTATGTGCCTGTCCCAAGTCAGGAGCCTGTAATTCAGTGGTTGTCGTTTGTTTATGTGTTACATATTTGTTTTTCTAACTCTAACTCACTACAGACTCACCAGGCGTTGGTTCACTTTCGTGTGTAATATTTGTTTTTCGTTCATTTTTTGTACATAAATTAGGCCGTTAGTTTTCTCGTTTGAATTGTTTTACATTGTCATTTCGGGGCCTTTTATAGCTGACTGTTCGGTATGGGCTTTGCTCATTGTTGATGGCCGTACAGTGACCTATAGTTGTTAATTTCTGTGTCATTTGGTCTCTTGTGGAGAGTTGTCTCATTGGCAATCATACCACATCTTCTTTTTTATAATCTGTGATTGTTTTGCATTTACTTTTCAGTCTTCATAGGATTGTACTGTTGAAAAATCTTAACAAAGTATTTGGCCAAGTGTTCATTATATTAGTAAATAACCAATAAATTATTTTATAATCTTAATCTGTAAAGTGATTTATATTAAAACATCAAACCTAGAAATGAAGCATCCAAATAATTAGGACTGATTCCCAAATTTTGGATAATTTCAGGATATGAAGTGTAATAAAAGCAGAACATTTGTTATTGTTGGCAACTGTAAATGATTTAATATTGTACAGACATGTACACAGGACTTAAGATCTGTGCATTGACATTCTATAATGCAAAAAAGATGCACTTGAATTGTTCATTACACAATAGAAATCCATTGATTCATTTCAACAAGTTTCCTTTTGTTTACATGTCTATGTTCAGTAGTTTGTCGTTTGTTGATGTGGTTCATAAGTGTTTCTCGTTTTTTATATAGATTAGACTGTTGGTTTTCCCGTTTGAATGGTTTTACACTAGTCATTTTTGGGGCCCTTTATAGCTTGCTGTTCGGTGTGAGCCAAGGCTCCTTGTTGAAGACCGTACTTTGACCTATAATGGTTTACTTTTACACATTGTGACTTGGATGGAGAGTTGTCTCATAGGCACTCATACCACATCTTCTTATATCTATATGCTTAAATAATTGGTAAGGATGTGTTCATTAATCAATATTTATAAATTTTTACAAGACATTACTAAGGTGTAAAACTTGCATCTGATCTATTTGTCATTTTGAACGATAAAATAAGTTAAAGTTTAACTGTACAAATTCTATTGGCTAGTTGATTTCAAACTAAAAATAAAATTAATAAAATGCTTCGCTGGGGCGCAGCTTGATACGACCGCAGAGGTCGAACCCTGAACAGTTGGGGCAAGTATGGACACAACATTCAAGCTTGATACAGCTCTGAATTTGGATTGTTATTAAATATTTGACACAGCATAGGTTTCTGACACAGAAAGAATGTGGTCTAAGAACTTGAATTTTTTTAATTTACCTATTATGGTCCAATGTCCAAAATCAAAATACATGGTTAGATTCAGCATATCAAAGAACCCCATATATTGAATTTTTGTTAAAATCAAACAAAGTTTAATTTTGGACCCCAACTTGGACAAACTTGAAAACTGGGCCCATAGTCAAAAATCTAAACACATGTTTAGATTCAGCATATCAAAGAACCCCAAGAATTCAATTTTTGCTAAAATCAAACTAAGTTTAATTTTGGACCCTTTGGACCTCAATGAAGACCAATTTAAAAAACGGGACCCAAATTAAAAATCTAAAAACACGGTTAGATTTGGCATATCAAAGAACGCCAATAATTCAATTTTCGATGAAATCAAACAAAGTTTAATTTTGGACCCTTTTGACCTCAATATGAACCAATTTGATAGCGGGGCCTACAAATAAAAAATCTAAATACATGGTTAGATTCAGCATATCAAAGAACCTCATATATTCAATTTTTGTTGAAATCAAACAAAGTTTAATTTTGGACCCCAACTTGGACAAACTTGAAAACTGGGCCCATAGTCAAAAATCTAAACACATGTTTAGATTCAGCATATCAAAGAACCCCAAGAATTCAATTTTTGCTAAAATCAAACTAAGTTTAATTTTGGACCCTTTGGACCTTAATGTAGACCAATTTAAAAAACGGGACTTAAAATTAAAAATCTAAATACACGGTTAGATTTGGAATATCAAAGAACCCCAATAATTCAATTTTTGATGAAATCAAACAAAGTTTAATTTTGGACCCTTTTGACCTCAATATGAACCAATTTGATAGCGGGGCCCACAAATAAAAAAATCTAAATTCATGGCTAGATTCAGCATATCAAAGAACCCCATATATTCAATTTTTGTTGAAATCAAAAAAAGTATAATTTTGGACCCCAACTTGGACCAACTTGAAAACTGGGCCCATAATCAAAATCTAAACACATGTTTAGATTCAGCATATCAAAGAACCCCAAGAATTCAATTTTTGTTAAAATCAAACTAAGTTTAATTTTGGACCCTTTGGACCTCAATGAAGACCAATTTAAAAAACGGGACCCAAATTAAAAATCTAAAAACACGGTTAGATTTGGCATATCAAAGAACGCCAATAATTCAATTTTCGATGAAATCAAACAAAGTTTAATTTTGGACCCTTTTGACCTCAATATGAACCAATTTGATAGCGGGGCCTACAAATAAAAAATCTAAATACATGGTTAGATTCAGCATATCAAAGAACCTCATATATTCAATTTTTGTTGAAATCAAACAAAGTTTAATTTTGGACCCCAATTTGGACCAACTTGAAAACTGGGCCCATAATCAAAAATCTAAATACATGTTTAGATTCAGCATATCAAAGAACCCCATATATTCAATTTTTGTTGAAATCAAACAAAGTTTAAATACTGGACCCTATCTTGGACAAACTTGAAAACTGGGCCCATAATCAAAAATCTAAACACATGTTTAGATTCAGCAAATCAAAGAACCCCAAGAATTCAATTTTTGTTAAAATCAAACTAAGTTTAATTTGGACCCTTTGGACCTCAATGTAGACCAATTTAAAAAACAGGACCCAAAATTAAAAACCTAAATACACGGTTAGATTTGGAATATCAAAGAACCCCAATAATTCAATTTTAGATGAAATCAAACAAAGTTTAATTTTGGACCCTTTTGACCTCAATATGAACCAATTAGATAACGGAGTCCACAAATAAAAAATCTAAATACATGGTTAGATTCAGCATATCAAAGAACCCCATATATTCAATTTTTGTTGAAATCAAACAAAGTTTAATTTTGGACCCCAATTTGGACCAACTTGAAAACTGGGCCAAAAATCAAAAATCTAAATACATGTTTAGATTCAGCATATCAAAGAACCTCATATATTCAATTTTTGCTAAAATCAAACAAAGTTTAATTTTGGACCCTTTGGACATTAATGTAGACCAATTTGAAAACTGGACCCAAAATTAAAAATCTAAATACACGGTTAGATTCGGCATAACAAATAAATAAATGTGATCAAAGATTTTACAAATCTAATGCGCCATACTGTGCAATTAAAGATTACTTCTTGAAATTTTTCAATATTTGAAATTTGAAAAAAAAATAATATTTGAAGAATAATTCTTTTTAATTTCTGAAATCTGAAATGAGAAAAAATTGGCCCCCCACAATTTCTTTTTATCCCCCCCCCCCCCCTTTTTCCCCCAAAAAAATTCTTTCCCTCAAGATATGGTCATAATCTCAATTCAAATTTCCAATGGAGTTGGCAACCATAATTACCCATTTAAATTTACCATAGTGCTAACTTAATCTATTTTATAATAGAATTAATAAAAATATAGTGTCAAATCTTTCATATGGATTTTTTTGTAAAAAAAAAAGATGAAAACATTTGCAGATATTTTTACTGGTCTTCCTTTATAAATATGCATTTCTTTAAACATAATTTAAAAGCAGTGTAAGGGAAGTAACCAAAACGTTGTATTTGGATTACCTCCCTTACACTGTTTTAGATTATCTTTATTGTTCATTAACCATTACTTTATACATAATTTAAAAGCAGTGTAAGGGAGATAATTTCAATGATGTATTTGATTTATCTCCCTTACACTGCTTTAAATTATGTTTTGTACTAAAGTATTTGTCCATTAACCAGGACAACCTTGTTTTTCCCCCTTTTTTGCCCCTAATTCCTAAACGGTTTGAGCCATAACCCCCCAAAGCAAATCCTAACCATCCCTTTGTGGTATGGAAACTTGTAGTATAATTTCAGAGAGATCCATACACCGTTCCACAGTTATTGTCTGGAAACTAGAAAATGCTCATTTTTGGCCCCTTTTTGGCCCCTAATTCCTTAACTGTTGGTACCATAACCCCCAAAATCAATCCCAACCTTCCTTTTGTAGTATTTAACCTTATGGTCAAATTTCAAAAAGATCCATTCACTTAAACTAAAGTTAGAGTGCGAAAACCAATATGTATTCGGACGACGACGCCGGACGACGACGACGACGCCGGACGACGACGACGACGCCAACGTCATACCAATATACGACCACAAAATTTTTTTGCGGTCGTATAATGAATCAAAATTATAATTTAAAAAAAAACTTATATCTGTATCCTTATTTTTAAAATCTCTTTTGATCGTCCTTACGACTTAGGTGGATAGTTTTCTCATTGGCAATCATACCACATCTCCTTAGAAACATATTAACAAAAGACTGGCAGACAGGACAGGACTAAAACAGATGTCCCCTAAAATATTTGTGAAGACATAAAAAGCTATACAATTGTTATATGTATACATATGAAGCGCTATGCATGCTATTAATTTGTTAGTTTCTGTCTGCCAATTTCTTCTGACCTGTAAAAATCAATCGTTGTTATTTGAACTCAACTTTTAATTGAATATGCTTTTGTATGTAAAGTTGTTTTTCAGAAGCACTTTTAATTTGGCATCTTGATTTCCAGGGAAAAGATCAAATCATCCTAATCTTATTCATATAATATTGTTTGAAATTGTTCAAGATAGTTTCACCTAAAAATTAGTCTGCACTATTTATGAGGTTTTGTTGACATTTGAACTGTCTTATTCATTTAATTTCTGTATATAAATGATCTTTACTGTTTCTTCCCAGGAATATCATTCAGTTTTTCATCTGGTTATATTTATTTCCTTACATTTTTTATTATTCAAAAAATTTATGAAGGCTCTCATTCTTTCGACAGTAGTGTGTAAAGGGGTTTAAGTTACAAATTCTTCACCCTTCTTTCCGTTTTCTATAAATGATTGATTACCAATCAGATTTTAATAAGCCATCAGCTTAGGTAAAATTTTATTAGGGAGATATTCATCCTTTTATACTATAACATTTTTATAACCGATACTTTCCTTTTGGGACTTCAATTACATATACTTCAAAAGCTAGCTGCATAACTAAGCATAAGGGCTATTCCAGGTTGAATGACAGAGGAATGGACAGTACTTTTCCCATGACCCATCTCCAAAAAATATCAACAGGAAATCAAAGGGTATCATGAGAAGCTATGTGATATCCCCATTATCCATTAATAATAATATAAAGAACTGTTCCCCCTCCCTCTGCAAATTTTCCTGGAATAGCCCTTATTTAGGATCAACATTCATCTAAGTAAAATAACAAAATTTGTTGATTTTGAAGAATTTATAAATAAAAATGCCCCCCAAAAAACATAAATATAAGCAAACTAAGCATGTCTGGCTTGAGTTTTTTAATCTATTATTGTTTCAAATGCCAGCCAGATTATATATAACTTAGTGAGTCTTACAGTTAAACTGTTGATTGATTTTATTGTTATTCTGTGTTGCACATTAGTGTTAAATATATAATTTTTGTTTTTACAAATACCAGCACCTTTGAAATGTTCACCTGTTGATACATTGGCATAAATTTCTTCTGAAATGACCATCAAACAAATGTTAAATAATGTGCCAATTAGTATTACCTAAAGTCTCTCAGATGTTTTTGTTTATAAATACAAATTGCCATTAAAGGCATTCAAATTTATCGTCACGTTTTTTTCAATACAATATCATCTAAATTTATAAGATCAGCGGCTCTATTCACAAAAAATCTTCAGAGTAAAAATACTCGTAAGTCATACACATTTCAGTATAACTTACGATCAATTTTAATCGTAAGATTTTTTGTGAAGAGTCGCTGATTCATCAGTTAGTCAAAACACAATGCATTTTCTTCTTGATTTTTTTTGTATGTGTGAAATCTCAATTTTTGTTGAATCATATATTTACATTTTAATTACAGTAATCTAAAGAAGTTGAAATGTTAGATTTATCTTAAAGAAGCAGAAATATTTTATTTTAATTCAAAAGAAATCAATCATAATATCAGATCTGAGTTTCCCTAAAACTTTGTAATACCCTTGATTGGATGATTTGGAGAGTATTTTATTCATTGAAATTGTAGTTTTCATACAAAATCATTGTAAATGTTAAGACATTTAGAGCACAAAGCAATTTCTTTTTTTTAATGGTTATACAATTTTTAAGTTAGAATATAGAAATAACAGTAGTCCTTCTATGTGAAAGAATAAAATCAGAAGATATCTTACTAACTGTAACTCAAATAAAACCAGAAGACATCTTACTCACTGTAACTCAAATAAAACCAGAAGACATCTTACTCACTGAAACTCAAGTAAAACCAGAAGACATCATACTCACTGTAACTCAAATAAAACCAGAAGACATCTTACTCACTGAAACTCAAGTAAAACCAGAAGACATCATACTCACTGTAACTCAAATAAAACCAGAAGACATCTTACTCACTGAAACTCAAGTAAAACCAGAAGACATCATACTCACTGTAACTCAAATAAAACCAGAAGACATCTTACTCACTGTAACTCAAATAAAACCAGAAGACATCTTACTCACTGAAACTCAAGTAAAACCAGAAGACATCATACTCACTGTAACTCAAATAAAACCAGAAGACATCTTACTCACTGTAACTCAAATAAAACCAGAAGACATCTTACTCACTGAAACTCAAGTAAAACCAGAAGACATCATACTCACTGTAACTCAAATAAAACCAGAAGACATCTTACTCACTGTAACTCAAATAAAACCAGAAGACATCTTACTCATTGTAACTCAAATAAAACCAGAAGACATCTTACTCATTGTAACTCCTTAACTCCTCAACTTATATTATCTTGATAGTTAGTTATAACCCCATTGAAAGGACTGATGTTTCTCCCATAAAAAAATCAACATTCAATAATTAAGAAATTTGGGAAATCCGTATCTCTTATATATGATCTTATTCAATCTTTTAATACTACCTATTTTTTCTTATCTTGCATCACAACTGTTAATAACTGTTATCTATCAGAATATTTTCAAATACCTGTATATTCTGAATCAACAATCCCCCCTTCACATGGTGGAGGACCATCTAATGGTTCTTGGCTTTTAGTTCTGACTGGTGGTAAATCAGCTACAACCATATCAGCAGTTGGTGACATAACCTTTGGTGGCAGGATTGGGATATCATCTGTCTTTGGTGGTAATGGTGGAACGGAATCTCTTTCTTTCTTTGGTAAATCAGGTGGATAATGTTGTTCAATTTTAGGTTCAGGAGAAATTGCTTTTAATTCTCTTGGTGCTGGTTCAGGAGAAACTGCTTTTGATTCTCTTGGTGCTGGTTTAGGTGGTGAGATAATGGTAACTGACACTGGAGAATCGTCAATTCTGTAAAACACAAAACAACGCAACAGTTATGTATCTTAAACATAAACAAACCAATCTGAAAGATTTGTTGACATCTAAATGTCTTTTTATTTTTTGGCATCAAAGGGTTGCATTCTAGGTGACATACGCCAAAAGTATCAGGAAAAAATAAAACGCATCCAAACAATTTATACAAGATTTTAGTTAAGGGCTATTGCAGAGATAAATGTATGGTGGGGTTGGAAGGCACTTTTTTTAATGCCGATGACCCATACAATTAGATTTTTTTGACGACCCATAACCCAAACAATTATATAAAGGTTTGATACCACCACCCATTTAATTAAAAATAAATTGCTTCGCCTAACGCAGCTGGATACGTCTGCAGAGGTCCAACCTTGAACAGTTGGGGCAAAAATGGACACAATATTCAAGCTTGATACAGGTCTGAATTTGGATTGTAATTAAATATTTGACACATTATAGGTTTCTGACATAGAATAAATGTAGTCAAAGAACTTGAAATTCTTTATAAGATAAAAATATTTCAAGTAATTGCTTCAGTGATAGGTTGTTAGTGTGAAGTGAGTGCTGTGAAAAAGAGTTATACTTACCATCTAACTTCAGTTAATTATTGTGTATGTCATGAAAGTCAAATAAAACAAGCATTCTGAGAGTATTGCATGGCAATACATAGTCCCCTACTGGTTAAAAATTCATTGTATAGGAACAAAATGCTAACTAGATCTATAAATTGTCATGGTATAAATATCAAGTCAATATATTCAAGCATGACAACAAAAAAAAGTGCTGAAAACTGATTATTTAAGTGAATTTTCTTAGTCCAAAGACCATAACTCTGCACAAAATCATCAGACCAGAACAAATTTCAAACTTGATCTGTAACTTGTCATGATAAAACAATACACCAAATATCAAGTCAATATCTTCAAGCATGACGAAAAAAAGTGCGGAGAACTGATTATTTGAGTAAATTTTCTAAGTCCAAGGACCATAACTCTGCACAAAATCATTAGACCGGAACAAAATTCAGACTGACGGATGGACAGACAGATAGACAGACAGATGGACGGACAGAGGTGCAAACCTAAAGTCCCCTTAGACTTCGTTGGTAGAGGACTAATAATAACTTGTTATAGTATAAGGCACTGGTTTAAATAGGTCTAACTTTACCATGAAAACTTCTATCCTAAATAAATCTTACAGATAACTTGTTCTAACCGGAAGTTATTGAGTAATTGTAATTTGGATATTTTTTTTTAAAGCAATTACAATCTGTTAATAATAAAGGGAAATAATTTACATTATAATCAGACAAATTTTGTCAACTATCAACTTCCTTCATATTGACATTTTCTTAGTAATTTGTTCTAAACATTATTTCCATGATTATTGAACTATTAATCTATTTTTAAGATTATTAAAATTTTGGGAAAAAAAAATGTTGAAAACATATTATAGGACACATTCAAAGTCGTATAAATCATAAATTCCTCTGTAAATTAAGAGGGTATCACCAGCCCAGTAGTCAGCAATTCTGTGTTGACATGAATTATCATTCATATGGTCAAAATTATAAATTAACTGTTTTGCAAAAATTTGAATTGTTCAAAATACTAATGATTTTCTACCCCTGACGATTAGATTACTTATAAACAGTACTCGGAATTTTGTTTCCTCAATGCTCTTCAACTTCGTACATAATTTGGCATTTCAAATTGTTTTATTGGAGCCTCACTGATGAGTCTTCTGTTGACAAAACTTGTGTCTGGTGTACATAATCATCAGCCCGGTATCTTTCATTATATTTTTTTTACAATGAGTGAATAAAAATTATTTCCCTTTAATGCCAGCAGATCAGTAATTGTTATAGAAAAAAATATCCAAATTACAATTACACAATATTTTCCTGTTAAAAAACAAAGCAATAAATTATTGACTAGCTAAACAATTGTAAGAACTAATTATTTATAAAATGTCATTAGGATAGAAGTTTTCATGTCAAAGTCAGTGCCTTATATTATAGTAGGTGATTATTTTATTTCAATAATATTACACAGACATTAAATAACGGTCGTTGGATGGTAAGCATTATTTTTATTTCACTGAAGCAATTAGCTAAAATATTTGACCAGTTAATCAGGTTGAGATCAATTCAAACAACAATTTGGAAAACTATTTAATCACTTGGTATTGTGATAGGCATAAGCCTACAGGTTAAGTATAGTAATAGCTATATATATTGACTCATGTGGTTAATTTTATCTTATTCTAGATTGTATCTTCAGGTTTGGTAACTTAATCATAATTATAATATTCAAATCTAAAATAAGGACATAACTCTTTTAAAATTTATTGATCGGCACTGATTTTCAAATTCGTCCAAGAAATTACTAATATATACCAATGATTTAAGTTTCATAAAATTCTGGCAAGAATTGTACATATGAGAGCACTAACAATGCAATTCTCCATGTAATTTATATTTCCAAGGGGCATAACTCTTTTAAAAATATTTGATCGGCACTGATTTTCGAAATCGTCAAAGACATTGCTGATATAAACCTATGATATAAGTTTCATAAAAATCTGGCAAGAATTGTAAACGTGAGAGCGCTAACAAGACCAGACAGACGGACGCCCGGTATTCCAGTGTTAGCATTACGCAGGGGACAATAATGGTCTACTAAGAAATTCTTTTTATTCAATAAAATGAACTTTTTTAAAACAAAAAGATCAAAGCTGTACTTCTTTTCATTAAAATGACATTATCTTGCAGTTATAAAAGTAAAATAAAATTGTTGTGTATTTCAATAATCAGTAAAAACATATCTAAAGGAAATCCACTTTAAGGGGAAATAACTCCACATAAAAAATTAAAAAAACATAAAAAAAATTCAGAGATTCATTCCTGTTTCAACACCTTTTGTAACGTTATATTTTTATGTTATGTATGTGTAAAAGCTTTTCTGAATAAATGTAGTCAAAGAACTTGAAATTGGTTATATTAATTGAATTTATATTCAATTAAAGATTTCTTGCTGTTGTGCAATTGTGCTGTTGCGCAATACTTAGTAAATCTGTTGTCAGACTATAAACAATTAAAGTTCAATTAATTTTCAATGTCATATTTAAAATTTATGAAAATGTAAAGGGAGCTTACATCAATAAATATAAATAATTCACCAAAGTTTCATGAGAATTTCTGACAGCATTTTTCAGTTATTGTCCAAAAACTGGAAAATCCCCCCTTTTTTAATGAATAAAACCCAATAACTCAGAAATGTAAAATGTAAAATTTATAAAATTCTAAACGGAGCTTACATCAATAGATATAAACAATTCACCAAAGTTTCATAAGAACTGCTGAAAGCATTTTTGATTTTTTGTCTGAAAACTGGAAAATCCCCCTTTTTTTTATGAATAAAACCCTGTAACTCGGAAATGTAAAATCTAAAATATATAAAAATCAAAAGGGAGCTCATGTCAATAGATATAAACAATTCACCACAATTTCTTGCAAGTTGGTGAAAGCACTCTTGAGTTATTGTCCGAAAACTGGAAAATCCCCCTTTTTTTAATGAATAAAACCCCATAACTCGGAAACGTAAAACCTAAAATTTATAAAAAATGAAAGGGAGCTCACGTCAATAGATATTAACAATTCACCAAAGTTTTATGCAAATTGGTTAAAGTGTTTTTGAGTTAATGTCTGACATGTTGACAACGGACGGACGGACAGACAGACAGACAGACAGTATTCCATAATACATCCTGTAAACGGGCGTATAAAAAGGAAGCACGATTACAAGCTTCACATTTTCTGAATGGTAATAAAATAAATATTTTTTAATCAATCATGGGATCATGAGATTCAACATTAAAATCTAAATGTGTCTTTATTTTGTGAATACACTGTCAAGGCTATACTTCCGCTATATCACCTGTCACGTTGATTTTTACCTATTTTTATCCCTATTTTTGTCAGGTTTAGTATACAGGGCCGACTTTCTCTCTTCATCCACACCAGCATCACCAAGAGACAGTCTGGGTTTAGGTACAGGTCTGGTTTTGACTTCTGGTTCTTCCTTATCCTCAGGTTTACTGCTGTTTGTTTGGTCTTTGGTGACATCTTCATCAACAGCTGGTGCTAATGGTGGAGGTGCTGCTGACTTAACATTAAATGATGTGTCATACACATTACTGTCATCAGGGTCGTCTGCACCGGATATCATTATATGATCTGTAGTGAAGAAAGCTTCTGTTTTAAAGCAGTACAAATATGTATATGTGTCTATTGTCCAATATTACACTTGGAACAGGGATTAACATTTATGTACAAGGTGTAATGCTAACCCTAACTCTATCATGAACTCTTTTTTGTATTCAGCATGTTCTTGAAATTGTAGGCAATATCTACTATACTGTACTTTCTAGTTTGTTTAAGGTGGTACCTAACACTACAGGGAGATAACTCTGTAAAAATCAGCTAAACGTTTTAATTACGTTGTATTGTTAAGGAAATATTAAGCTTCTCAATGATCAAAATTAGTGTTTGTCAAACTGCTATATAACCAATGAAATTTTTCTGATAAAGTGGTTGGTTCAAATTTTTTGAAATTTTTATATTTTTGTCAAAGGGTCAAAGTAAACATTTTGTCAAAATTTTATGAAAATTAAACGAGCCAAATTAATATTAGTCAAGGTGTTGGGTACCACCTTAAAGCATGTTTTTTTTTAATTTTAGGAAATATTTACTATACTGTAATGTCTAATTTGTGTTGAACATGTTCTTGTAGTTGTAGACACTATCTGTATGAAAAAGTTAAATCTAATCCTTTGCATTGCATTCATGTTACCTCTGATAAGTTTGGCAATTTCAGCATATTTCTGTTGTGATTGATCATTCTTCAATACAATCTCTAGAGCTGTTTTACCCTCTCCATCCTGGGCATGTATATCTATACCTGTAGTCAAATAAAATACTGTTAATATAAATCATAATTTATACAATACAAAGAATGAAAATTATTATATAATAATATATATCATGTAATAGCAAGAATTGATTTTTTTGGCAGCATCTGTTTTCTTGCATTAAGGATCATTCGCTCAAGATTATTTTATCTCGTCATAGGACAAACTCAAAGTTGTGTTTTTCATTTTTTGTGTTTCTTTGTGCTGTTAGGTTTTTGATGGTGCGGGATAAAAAAACACAAAGATTTTACAGGGCTTTTGAAATGCAGTTATCATTCTGTTAAAAGAATTCTGTGTTGATGGTAAGTTTGCTGGATACAAATTTAATCAGAATGATTTTTCTGAGCACAAATTGTTTCTAACTGTACGGCATGTTCAGATTTTAAAGTTTTTTGTGTGCCATTTTCTTTCTGGCTGGCTGACTGGAATGTTTTGAAAATCCTAATTGATGTTGCAGTATTACTGAATATTTATAGTAACATATTATGTCGACAAATTAAATTCATGATTAACGTAGGAATTCTGGAAAACAAAACTATGAAAACTAAAATAGAAAAAAATATTTCAGAGTTTAATATTGAAAATTGCATGAAAATCATTTGATGTAAAAAATTATGGGGAAAAATATTGAAAAAGGAACGACTTTTGTCCAAGTACTGTATATTATACCTTTTTCTATGAATAACTTGACCACATCTGTTTAACCACAGAAAACTTACCTTTTTCCACCAGTAACTTGACCACATCTGTCTGACCACAGAAAACTTACCTTTTTCTAGCAATAACTTGACCACATCTGTCTAACCCCAGATATCTTACCTTTTTCCACCAATAACTTGACCACATCTGTCTAACCACAGAAATCTTACCTTTTTCTATCAATAACTTGACCACATCTGTTTAACCACATATTTCTTACCTTTTTCCACCAATAACTTGACCACATCTGTTTAACAACATATTTCTTACCTTTTTCCATCAATAACTTGACCACATCTGTCTAACCACAGAAATCTTACCTTTTTCCACCAGTAACTTGACCACATCTGTCTAACCTCAGAAATCTTACCTTTTTCCACCAGTAACTTGACCACGTCAGTTTTACAGTACATAGCAGCAGTATGCAGTGCTGTGCCAGCTGTTGTCTGTAAATAAATGGACAAAGTATTCAACATATAGCTCTGTGAACATCTTATATATAAACTTATAATAATAAATTATAAATTTAGAATTCAGACAGTATCAGTGTACCTATATTGATCCAATGTGACTTTAGCCCTGGTCCACTTTACATGGACCAAGTTACTTAAAAGTGATATATTTCACAGTGTTCTCCCCAGGATTTGTTTATAGCGCTGTGGTAAGTGTGCGATATTAGATTGGTTCACCATTTTTACATAATGTTATTTTTACATAATGTTACATTTATTTATAACTACCATGTTGGTTAAATTATATTAAATAGACAAAGACCAGCATTTTTTATACATATGCTTTCACAGAAATGGAAATAAGTTCCATTTTAATTATTTAAAAGTTTTAAAATTAAAATGTCTAGATAATTTATATAATATTATTTTATTACCACCCCTCCCCACTTTTTTGTAAGAGTATTAAAGTATGCTTTTTTAGTTGTTTGACTTATAAACTAGTTATATATCCTTTACAACTTCATAATTTACTGACAGTCACGCATATATTTACCCTTTCCATAATATTTAAATGTTATTAAAGACTTGCTTATGAAAGGCTAACATAATCCAAGATGAATATGATAGAAATCCTATATATTTTTTTTTAAAGATTTTTTTTTTTATTAAAGGTGGATTATCAAGTAAAAATAAATTATGTTTGCCAATTGAAACATTTTTACTACCACCCTTTAAAGGTTGTGTTTGGTAATTTTACAAACATTTGAATTCTTGCAACCAGAAATACTTGTCAAGATTGGACAATACATGTTTTAGAACTTTCCCTCCAAAATTGTCTCCCTTACTGGCTTACATAACTTCCTGTTTACATTTGTGGCTTTATGCATCATTAATGTTGTTTTTGTCACGAATCGTATAAGTTGGTTTAAATGGCAATAAAAGTCTGATTTGATTTGATTAATGCCATTCCATATTCAAGCCATCCTCTGTTTACATTAATTTTAAAACAATATTGAATTAATATATATTGATAAATTGATGACAAATATCGATACTTTTTAATATATTTACGCAATTTTTTTCTATTTTTTCGTTTTGTTTTATTCTCTATTTGATTTTGGAAAGAGCAATGCAAGGACTCATAATCGTAAAATATAGGCTTGTTAAGAATCCCTGGACAACAGGAATGCTTTCCTTAAAGCAATACAGGTTCAACAGTTCAGTTGTAAACGTGAAAAAGTAATGAAATAATCGTAGATGGTTCAAAAAATGTTCAAGACCACGTTGTCAGAGAAGGGGTAAAACTTCCCTTAAATAATTTAGGAATGAACTTTTGATTACTATCCATCCCTTTCATGAAGTTTCTGCATCTTTTTAAATCGAAAAACTCCAGAAAAGAAAAGGTTATTTTGACAGTAAAAGTTTTGAAAATGCCGCCATTTTGTTCTTTTATTGAACTGGCCCCTCGATATTTGACTTCGTTAGGTGAATAAACGATCTTTTAGACAAATCAACCAGTCAACCACGTGATCGGAATTGTACAGAATAATACTGGAAATTTGAAAATTCAAAAACAATAGCGCTGATATTTGATTGGTTAGCGCTGCGGTCTGCCTATAGCACAGCATTGAAATACGATAGCGCTGAATACTGCAGCGCTAAAACGGCCTGGGGAGAACGCTGATTTCAACAATTTGCCAGAATTACTACAGAATATGTATAAAAACAATGATATATAATTTCAGCATGTATACTGGTAAGGCCTAACATAAATCCATGGTGGATAGTTGTCACATTGGCAATCATAACACACATCTTTGTTATTTCTATTTCTAGGGAAATCATAAAACTATAAAAAAAAAAATTTTAATTTTGGCCCAATCATTTGCTTTTTTAAGAATTAGCAACTATAGGTCAATATACAGTCTTATACAAAGAGCAAAACCCATACTGCCAAACAAGGATTTTTAATTTTTCACTGTTTGACAAATGCGAACAAATTCGTTTCGTACAGTTTCAAAGTGTTTTGAGGTACACATTATCTTACTAGCAGTTTTTTTTATACTTTTTTGATTTTGGTGTGATATAGTCAATAATCCGAAATTTAAATCTTCAATTGCCAAATAAACTTATTATCCATGTCAACAGGGCAGTATTGAGATGTTTTGGAGAAGGGGAATCATTGTATCGTTTGGGGGGAGGGAAGAGTTATTGTAGGTTTCCCAGGAAGGTAGATACTCTCTGTATTATTGATATCTAGCTCCTATTACTTGACTTTGTATCTGTACATGCAAGCAGATGGCAGCCATATATTTGGGGAGAAGTGTAGTGTCGTTATGTTTTTAAAAAGAAGAGAGGTATTCACTGTTGTATTGATATCATATCTAGCTCCTATTACTTGACTTTGTATTTGTACATGCAAGCAGATTGCAGCCATATATTTGGGGAGAAGTGAGGTATGTTTTGAAATAGAAGAGAGAACTCACTGTTGTATTGATATCATAACCTGCTCCGATCAATGTACTGATAATTTGTACATGTCCACAGGCTGCAGCTAGATGTAGGGGAGAATGTGATGTGACGGTATGTTTGACCAGATCTGGGTTCTTGGTAACCAGAAGCTGAACTACATCATGTCGTCCATACTGGGCAGCAAGATCTAAAGCTGATTGATCCTTTAAGTTCCGTATAGTAGCATCAACATTGTACTAAAATATAAACAAAAGACCAAAATGAAGCCATTGTAATGCAAATCTTGTTCATTGATAAATTTTGTGTATCTTAACACATACCATGTATGCAAAACATGTCTATTCAACACTCACAAATTTATGTGTTAGCACTTCATTAAAGTTTTCTGCCTTTAAGCATAATATTTATTATTTCCTATTGGCCTCCTTTAATCGGCATGATAAATGTCTCATTTCAAAGTCCTAATGTATCTTAGAACAATACTACCTATAGGATAATACTTAATAGCAATTCTGAGAAGCCTCACATTTTTAAAATATGAAAATTTACCTGTCTTGAGTGAAAAATTGATGAACCTCTAAACATACTAGGTATAATTAACAGTTGAGGACCAAATTATAATTGATAATTATTCAATTGTCAGACTGAGAAAAAATTATTATCGCATGACAAAATAAATCTTGATAGAACTAAATGTTTTACCTGTAGAAGGACGTCAACCACATTCTTGTAGCCATATTGGGCTGCCATATGTAAGGCTGTGTCTCCCAGACTGTTCTATCAAAATAAAATATAATTCTAAATCATTTAATACACAAAATAACTTAATATCTTTTTCACACTGTTTTGTACATTATTAGCTTGGTTTTTACAAACCTATGTTTTGCTGTTTGATATTTCCATCTAATCGTCATATACTTATGGATTATTGCAAAACTTTAATCTGAACAATTTGTTTATTAGCAGTTTCATTACTGGATATGAACCTTGTGATACAGTTTCTGTTTCGGGATTTAATACATTTTTTATGCAGAAAAGTAACAGCTTAAACAATCCTAGTATTATTACAAATAAGTTGATGCTTTTTCCTTTAGTGTTTTAGCATAAATCAGACCATTGGTTTTCACTTTTGAATTGTTTCACATTTTTTCATACCTGGGATTTTAATACTGCATGCATATGGTATGGTTATTGCTCATTGTTGATTTGATTTGATTTGATTTTTGGTGTTTTAACGCCACTTTTAAGCACCGCTTTTGGGCTATTTCGTGGCGGCCAGTTTTTATTGGTGGAGGAAGCCGGAGTGCCCGGAGAAAACCACCGACCTTCGATAGGAAAACTGACAATCCTAGTCAATTAAGATTGGAGTCGAGTGCACCCGCACGAGCGGGGTTTGAACTCACAACCTCAGTGTTGACTGGCTAGTGATTACAGTAGTGACTACTTAGACCACCGAGGCCCCGCTCATTGTTGAAGGCTGTACAATGTTCTATGGCTGTTAACACCAACACCCTATGATCTATGGTGGATAGTTTGTTTTATTGACAACCATACCACATTTCCTTTACATATGTATATCAAATATTTGAGATGGAATTCTATCTGTATCCCTAAAGCTAAGACTTAGTCCCATTCCTTCAAGAAATACCCTCAACATTATGTATGTTAGAAAAAAGCTTTAAACAAATGTTATTCCTACTACAAATACCCTAAAACCTTTTGTTGTCTATATAATTTTGAGTCTAAGCCATTTATACAGTGTTCTAAATCCTTAGACAACATTTTAATTCTGTAATCATTGGGAGTGGTTATTGAACCATATGTGTTTCTAAATTTTACAAAGTTCAATCAGTCATTTCAACACTTATCTCCTTAACAGTAAATCTAAAGTGTTAATCATTTTAAATATTCCATATTTGCACATGTGTTGAAATGAGTCATTGACTCATGAAAGCATTGACATATCAGGTAACCTTTTCTCTATGATAAAGTGTATACGTACCTGGGTAAATGAACTCATAAATCATATTTAAATTGATCTTTGTTTTTATCAAATTTAATCCTTTACATAAGTTTGCTGAAAAACCATCCTTACTTTGATATAACATTTTGATAAATAATAGTTTCATGTCTATTTTGCAATTTTTCAGCATGTTCAGGAAGACTGTATAATATTGTTCTTGACCAGTTTCTTAATTTTCTAGCCTGACATGAATTTCAATCAGTTTAAAATTTAAGCAAACCACCGCATGGCTAGTATATAGAATACTGTGACCCACCAAATACGTCTCCACTTCAGAATGCTAGGTAATTCCCATGTAGAAAACTACCAGAGTTCTACATTTGTTATACATGTAAATAAATCAAAAATACTGGGCTTCAAATTTTGTACACCAGACGTGTGTTTCGTCTACAAAAGACTCATCAGTAAGAATGATATTTTGACCACAGAAAATGCATAGAATAACATTCAGTTCTTCACAGAAAACCGCAGAAAACAAGACCAAAAATGCAATTTATATTGTTTGATGCTGCCATCCTACCCATCCAAAAAGCAGCATACCCGAAAACTTTAATGACACAAATCGATTCAATTTTTTTTTTTTAAGATTTTTTCCTGCTCTTACATCCTTTTCTTGTCTAAAATATGTAACTTATTTTGTTGGCAAAAAAAAAATTCCTACCTACATACCCTCCCTACAAGGCACAGGTTGGCAACATCAAACAAAGAATTAAAAAAATAAAGGGTAGTCCAAACAAGTGTATATACATTGTTAGGGTAGGGTCACCATACTACATTATAATTAGGTTGATTTTAAAACTCTATACATTGTTAGGGTAGGGTCACCATACTACATTATAATGAGGTTGATTTTAAAACTCAATCAAGTGCTGATAAAAGAAAACTTATTTAAATTTCCTTTGAAATCCAAGAAAATATACTGTCCTGGTGTTAGATAAAAGGATGTGTCAAAAGGCAATTTATTGATGCTACTTTTCAGTGTTTAATTAAGATAAAACTTCTCGGAGTCTGATTAATCCAAATAATATTTTACATATTTTAAGAGGATTTTTATAAAAATGCAACAATACAGGAAGAAATACAATGAGTAAATAAAGAATTTAACATTTTAAGGAAGTACATGTAACTATTTTAAGAATACTGACTGGTAACATAAATCTCTCTTTTCTGTTACAGAAAGTAGTTTTATAGAATAGAAATATTCCAATTCCACTCAACCTAATTGAAATTGGTGAAACTGCTTGTCAAAACATAAATTTCTAAAACATTGATTTTACATGTAGACATAATCTGGACTGTTTTAACTACTCTTCTTTTATAATGAACAAATATTCTATATTTGCGTTTCTAGACAACTGATAAGATTTTTTGTAAAAGTATAGAAGCTGAGGTACATCTACAGCATAATAGGGACAGTGGCATTAGAAAATGTTTAGATTAAGTTTACAGATTTCATTGTATCCTTTTCATGCTTCCAAGAATTGAGAATTGAGAAGGATACCCCCAAAACAAAATAATAGACAATTACCTGTCCATCTAAAGGAATGGTAAGATTAGTAAATGTTAAGAAGAGTTTACAGATTTTATCGTATTCTTTCCACGCTGCCAAGTGTGGAGAAATTTACCCAAATAAATGTGAAATATGTCCATGGGACACAGATGATGCCCCCTTGCATATCATATAAAGTTATAAAGGGACATAACTGAAGAACGGTAAAAGTGATGCTACCCAAATTTAAACTTGATCTGAGTTTTGTGGTAATAAGTATTGCGTATAAGTTTCATAAAATTTGGTTGAGGCAAACTTAAGTTAGAGAACGGTAAATTCAGCAATTTTTCCCTTTGTAAAGGGGCATAACTCTAGAATGGTAAAAGTGACACCACCATAATTCAAACTTGATCTGAGTTTTGTGGTAATAAGTATTGTGTATAAGTTTCATAACATTTTGTTGAGGCAAACTAAAGTTAGAGAACGGAAACCAACTTTGGGACGTATGTACGGACGTACAGGGGTAAAACTTAATGCCCCCTCCGCTACGGTGGGGGCAGAAAAAAATAATTGATGGTTACCTGCACATCTATAGGAATGGTGGCATTAGTAAATGTTAAGAAGAGTTTACAGATTTCATCATATCCTTTCCATGCTGCCAAGTGTAGTGGAGTACAGCCACTGTTATCTTTTGAACTGACTAAGGCATCCAGGTTCAACAGGCATTCTACTGCTGATCTGTAAAAATATTCACAAAGGTTTAACATTTTTCAATATTATTTCAAAAGGGAGTTACATGTAGCTATGAAATTGGAATAAGTTCAAAATACGATTTTTGTTGTTTCTAACATTTATAAAATCTGAATTATGAAATAATATTTTGCTATTAGCAGTCAGTAATTCAAAATATGATTTTTTTTTTGTTTCAAACATTTATAAATCTGAATTTTGAAATAATATTTTACTATAAGCAGTCAGTAGCTTTCATTTTGTCAAAATAATTTCAAAGTTATGCATGGGCTAAGCATGTTTAGTTATTAAAAAAAGAAAAGAATGTCAAAATTAAACAGTGAAAAAACATGTACATGGCAGCATCTTGGGAGAACCCTTTTGTTAACTTTTTCTGCAAACAGAAAAAAAAATCATTCCGATAATGGTAGAACGATGAGTTACATATATGCCATTAAAATTAAATAGAACTTCAAAAATTATATTTTTTTATCATAATATGATTGCACATGCTTGTCTGTGTATTTATATTTGTATTTTTGTTTACATCAGGTCATATGACCATCAGAATTCTCCGGAGATCGTCTTGATTGTTAATTAAATGGCGTCTAGTTTAAAATACACACAAAATGTTGATACATTATAATTTGTCTATGCATTGCTTATTGTTTCTTTTGGACTTTTTGTAATTTGGATAGATGTTTTAGTATGTTATAAATATAATATGAGAATTTGAGTCCAATCGGTTAACATGAATTTGACGGCGTATGGCCCTTAAATTTTTAATCGTACATTAAATGAGGTCAAAATTGCAACTTTGTTATTACAATTTTGACACCTTAACAGAACAATGGTATGGAAATCTTTTTCTTTATATCATTTAAATTCCAAATCATTAAAGAAAATACCTTATCTGTATATACAAAATAAATTAGATGTAATTTGATATAGAACAAATTACATATATGTACACCAATTATATAATGTTGCACATTCTTATTCATATTTTTTTTCTACCAATGCTAGGCTTATAAATATGAAATTTGCCTTTTGAAATACCCATATATCAATGTGTATAATTATATATTCGCCACTGTTTTTCATGTGTTTCACTTTATAAAAAATAAGGTAGTTCACACAATTTTATTGCCATAAATATGAACATTTAAACATATAGATATAAGAAGATGTGGTATGAGTGCCAATGAGACAACTCTCCATCCAAGTCAAAATTTATAAAAGTAAACCATTATAGATCAAAGTACGGTCTTCAACATGGAGCCTTAGCTCACACCGAACAGTAAGCTATAAAGGGCATCAAAAGTTACTAGTGTAAAACCATTCAAACGGGAAAACCAACGGTCTAATCTATATAAATAAAATGCTGCGCTGGGCGCAGCTTGATACAACCACAGAGGTCAAACCCTGAACAGTTGGGGCAAGTATGGACACAACATTCAAGCTTGATACAGCACTGAATTTGGATTGTGATTAAATATTTGACACAGCATAGGTTTCTGACACAGAATGAATGTGGTCTAAGAACTTAAAATTTTTTAATTTACCTATTCAAACCATATCATTATTATTTGCTTTTATATATAAATCAGAAATAACCAATTTAAAATGGAAAATTTTAAAGAAAAAAAAATCCCTCCCCCAAATTTTTTGAACCCCCTTATGATTCATCACTCCCAAACTCAATCCCAGCCTTCCCTTTGATGTATGGTACCTTGCAGTACAATTTCAGAGAGATCCATACACTTGAACACAGGTTATTGTCTGGAAACTAGAAAAATGCGTGTTTTAGGCCCCTTTTTGGCCCCAAATTCCTAAACATAAAGGGCAATTACCCCAAACTCAAACCCAGCTTTCCCTTTGTGATATGGAACCTAGTAGTACAATTTCATAAAGATCCATACACTTACACACAAGTTATTGTCCTGAAACTAGAAAAATGCTTGTTTTTTGCCACTTTTGGCCCCTAATTCCTAAAATTTGAGGCAATTACCCCAAAAATCATTCCCAGCCTTCCCTTTGTGGTATGGTACCTTGCAGTACAATTTCAGAGAGATCCATACACTTGAACACAAGTTATTGTCTGGAAACTAGAAAATGCTTGTTTTTAGGCCCCTTTTGGCCCCAAATTCCTAAACGTTTAGGACAATTACCCCCAAACTCAAACCCAGCTTTTCCTTTGTGATATGGAACCTTGTAGTACAATTTCATAACGATCCATACACTTACACACAAGTTATTGTCCTGAAACTAGAAAAATGCTTGTTTTTTGCCCCTTTTTTGCCCCTAATTCCTAAAATTATGAGGCAATCACCCCCAAAATCAATCCCAGCCTTCCCTTTGTGGTATGGTACCTTGCAGTACAATTTCAGAGAAATCCATACACTTGAACACAAGTTATTGTCTGGAAACTAGAATACACTGCTTCGCTAAGCGCAGCTGGATAGGCCCTCAGAGGTCCAACCCTGAACAGTTTGGGCAAAAATGGACACAATATTCAAGCATGATACAGGTCTGAATTTGGATTGTAATTAAATATTTGACATATTAAAGGTTTCTGAATAAATGTAGTCAAAGAACTTGAAATTGGTTATATGAATTGAATTTATATTCAATTTAAGATTTCTTGCTGTTGTGCAATACACTGTGCTGTTGCGCAATACTAAGTAAATAAACAAATAAAGTTCAATTTCTTTTCAATGTCATATTTGAAATTTATGAAAATCAATAGGGAGATTACATCAATAGCTATAAATAATTCACCAAAGTTTCATGAGAACTGATGAAAGCGTTTTTGAGTTATTGACGAAAAACTGGAAAATCCCCCCTTTTTTAATGAATAAAACCCAATAACTCAGAAATGTAAAATCTAAAATTTATAAAATTCTAAAGGGAACTTACATCAACAGATATAAACAATTCACCAAAGTTTCATGAGAACTGATGAAAGCATTTTTTAGTTATTGTCAGAAAACTGGAAAATCCCCCTTTTTTTATGAATAAAACCCTGTAACTCGGAAACGTAAAATCTAAAATTCATAAAAATAGAAAGGGAGCTCATGTCAATAGATATAAACAATTCACCAAAATTTCTTGCAAGTTGGTGAAAGCATTCTTGAGTTATTGTCGGAAAACTGGAAAATCCCCCCTTTTTTAATGAATAAAACCCCAAAACTCGGAAACGGTAAATCTGAAATTTATAAAAAACAAAAGAGAGCTCACGTCAATAGATATAAACAATTCAATAAAGTTTCATGCATATTGGTTAAAGCGTTTTTGAGTTAATGGCCGACATGTTGACGACGGACGGACGGACAACGGTATACCATAATACGTCCTGTAAACGGGCGTATAAAAATGCTTATTTTTGGCCCCTTATTCCTAAACGTTTTGGGCAATTACCCCCAAACTCAATTCCAGCTTTCCCTTAGTGATATGGAACCTTGTAGTACAATTTCATAAAGATCCATACACTTACACACAAGTTATTATCATGAAACTAGAAAATTGCTTGTTTTTTGCCCCTTTTTTGGCCATAATTCCTAAAATTTTGAGGCAATTACACCCAAAATCAATCCCAGCATTCCCTTTGTGATATGGAACCTTGTGGTACAATGTCAGAGAGATCCATACACTAACACACAAGTTATGTCTGGAAGTTACAAAATTGCTTATTTTTTACCCCTAATTCCTTAACTGTTGGTACCATAACCCCCAAAATCAATCCCAACCTTCCTTTTGTGGTATTGAACCTTATGGTAAAATTTCATAGATATCCATTCACTTAAACTAAAGTTAGAGTGCGATAACCAATGTGTCTTCAGACGACGATGACGCCAACGTCATACCAATATACGACCAAAATTTTTTTAATTTTTGCAGTCGTATAAAAACGAGAAACACTTATGAACCACGTCAACAAACGACAACTACTGAACATCAGATTCCTGACTTAGGACTGGTGCAATCAAACACAGCGTGTTTAAACGTTTTAATGGTACCAAACCTTCACCCTTTTTCTGAAACAAGTGTATTAACATCTCAACATAGAAAGACACACTATAAAATATCAACTGAAATAGCTTAACTCAATCAAAGGACATATTAACACCAGTGAACATACACGGAACAAATAAATTTGACCTATGATACAATGTAAATACAAAATAAATAAACTAAGGGAAGAATAATAAAAGTAACATGTTATATCGGTATGAAATGTTAAACAATTTAAGAAAAACAATATGCTTGAACAAAAATATCAGCCATATATATATACAATTGCAGTAAGTAAAGGTACAAAGTACATGTAGTGATATAACAATATTGTATAACAATCATTCATCCGTGACAGAACTTCCCTATTTGTCAAGTAGAATAGGATAGAATTTATCATTGGGAAGTGAAATATTCAGAAGATTAACTATTTATGATTTTCTTGATAAAAATTATCTTATTTTGTCAATAATTTAACCTCGATCAAGCCATAAACAAAATTGATACACTGAACTAAGAAATAAAGCTATCCTATCCATGAATTATTATTTCATGTCATTTCACCTCTCTTATTATATATTATACGAGGTTCAAAGTCTGATTATACAGATGTTTAAACCTTCGTTGTGTCATAAAACAAGGAGTGACAAAAAGTTAAATAATAATTCTAAATCAGATTAAATACAATGTCCAAAGTCTAGCTCACAGTCTATTTAACTTCTTTTATTTGTGTATCAAACAACTAGCATAGTGGATCAATATATAGGATTTCTTCCATAAACATAAACTGTTAACACAGAGATATGTCTGGTCTGTCAGCAGAAAATTCAGAAAAAGACAATCTAAGTTAGATATCACAGATATGTTTGCTAATGGACAAGTTCTTACAGAATTCACTTTTTCTTTGCATTTCATGCTTTTATACTTGTATTTGAAATAGAAGAACAGAGTTCTAATGTCCCACGTGTTACACATATTTTATATTTCCAAGGGCA